CAAGACTGTGCTTGATTTCAGTAACACGGACTTACCTTCAAGCTCGGTTAGGCAACCAAGGGCAATGGCAATAGCCTATGTGGTTTGGAATGTCTCTTGAACTCTCTGACCAACAACACGAAGGAACATTTCTCATGTATAGTCCAGGGGTTTGTGTGAGACAGTCTATGGCTCCTTTGGGAAGTATTATCTCTCCTTGTGCTATCACTCAATGCACTGTATAATTTGTGTGTGTGTGCGCACACACACACACACACACACAATATATATATATATATATATATATATATATATATATAGATAGATAGATAGATAGATAGATAGATAGATAGGTAAAGATACAGATAGAGATATATAGATATATATGTAAACTTAAAAAACAATAATTCCCTGTGGCATTTTCAGACATCCTTAAGTATTATTCCTCTCTCTTCCACCCTCTTTTCCTTTATTACGTTCCCTTCTCCCACATCCCGGTTAACACACTCCACCCTGTTTTTCTCATTTCCCCTTTCATGGTAAGCATAGGTGTCCTACTTTCCCCTTCTCTGGAGCTCTTTCTCTTCCTTTCCTTTCATAGCCCCTTCATCTTTCTGGCATCCATAAATACTTCAAGTTACATACCTGAATCTAATGACTTGCATAGAGAGAGCATGCATCATTTGTCTTTTCAGGTCTGAGTTAACACATTCAATATATTTTCCCACTTCCATGTATTTATACACAAATTTCATGATTTCTTATTTCTTTGTACCACATTTTCATTCATCAATAGAATAATAAGTATGACAATAATTAGCCTAGAAAGATATCACCAATGATAAAATACTGGCATTTTTATCTTGTAATTAATATCTGGCTAATTGAACTTAAGGCCCACTCAATAGGAACAAATTCATGCCTGATATGATACTGTAAACCTAGAAGAGAACTGGTGCCTGAAGAGGTCATAGATTATAGAAAAAAAATATACTACTACCTTCGTCCTAAGACAAATACCATTTCTAAATCTTTTATACATACTCATTCTTCTACCCAAAGTTCACATAGATCTCACACCTCATCAGAAATGAGGAAGAATTAAAAGAAGGCCAGAGTCCATGGAGAGGTAATACATTCTCTTTATAATCATGAATGACAGGTAGCATCTAAGAACTATCTTTAAGCATTATGTGATGGTTTTTATGCTTGAAGTGCAAATCCTGAAAAGCAAAGCTACAAGACACATTTCCAAGGGATATGAAATACGGACCTACATACTTTAAAGCAGATTGCACTTTTAATAGGAAGTCTGTCAGATTTTAAAATAAATAGGTTAATAAACCATTTCTTCACAGGCTAATACATATATTTAGGGGGCAAATCTTAGAACTATCCTTTATCCAATAGCAAAATCATATGTGCACATGTGTGTATGTGTATGTTTTATTATTCTTATTTGCAACTTAGCAGGAAACTATAGAGAAGAGTCATATGTTCAATATTAAAAACTTAAATTAGATTTAGTTAGATTAATGTTACTATAATTCCCAGCAGTTTCTAGTGCCTAGTAACAATCTAATATCTAGTAACAAAAGGAATCTTCACAGCCTATAGTTCAGAGAAGAGAAAAACAGCATTTTACTCTGTACTCTTATACACCTACAGGTCCAATACTCACTCAATTGTAATTACAAAGAAAAACAACAGTTTGCCAAGAATTTTGCATATTTTGGTAACTCTATAAGTTTGTATGTATCATCTTATTTTTCCATATCATGTTTTTTGGCTTCTCTAAAAAGAAAGGTTCTATAACATTTTCATATTTTATAAAAAAGTACTGTCAAATTTTATTTTAGATTCACTTTGACCAACCTTTTTCTTCATATACCTTTGTACACTTTGTTTATTCCAAATACTCTAAGTATCTTATTATAATTAAAATGCTTGTACATTTTCCTTACCAGATTGCCAAACACTTAAAAGAACATATTTTTGTTTCAGATATTCAGAGCCTAGCTCAAACTGAGTTAATAGTTCTAAGGTAGAAATGAACTGATATAACCATGAGCTAAAAGTAATGATGATAACAGGAATTCACAGGCCTTCCAACAGTCAAGTGTTATAATAAATACTTTATGTATGGTATTACAAAAATCATGCATATTTCTGATAGTTTTATCCTTGTTGCAGACAATTAAGTTAATTAAGATGTATTGTCAGTTTTCTCTTAATTGAATAAAATTGCCTTTTCATACAGGTATCTTTAAATTTTCCTCTTTCTTCTTTAAGAAATGAAATTTAATTTAATAATGTAATTGTATAGTAACATGCAGGTGTTAAGTATAAAAAAAAAGGGAGCCAGTTTGCTTGAAGTATAGGTCTGGATTATGTACTGAATGTCTCATTAATTCTTAAACCAATACAGACTCTCACGTTCTCTAGAAAAATTAATTTTCCATACCTCGAATCATGGCCCACTGCCAAAACATATTTTGAAATCTTAATGCCCAGGTTGAAAATTAGGAAGTGAGATATTCCAGTAGGTGATTGAGTCTTGAGATATAACCTTTAGGAATTAATCACACACACACACACACACACACACACAAAAAAAAAATAATAATAATAATGAAGACATTCTTATGAGATACCATTGAGTAAATATCCACATTATTAAAGTTGCAAGAAGAAAGGGGAAGAAAAAGGCTATGGAAACAGATTTAATTAAATAATAGCAGACAATACTCAAACCATGGGGGGAAAAATATAGACATCTAGGTCCACAAGTTTAGCAACCATTTATAATGAGATTTCGTGCCCTCTTCTGATATGCAGGCATACAAGCAGGGCCTTAGTTACATCAAAAAAAAAAAGTTCATCTTGGAGATATTATATACTCTGAAGCTCAAAATCCAAGACAAACAGAAAAGCATCAACCCACACTCAGAGAAATCTCAAAGAAACGGGGCAAGTGCTCATGAAGACAAGGATCAGAGAGTATGATATACCCAAGGTCTTAAAGGAAATGAAACAGTGAACTTATCATTCAGAAATAAAGAAATAAATCAAGAACAGAAGAACCACATCCTCACAACAGGAGCCTTACACACACACACACACATACATACACACACACACACACACACACACACACACACACACACACGCACACACATGAGCTTCAAGGAGCCCTAGATTGGGAAGAAAAGATATAATAATTAACATCATTAAATATAGAAAGCACAGGCTGGAGAGATTGCTCAAGGGTTAAGAGTTCAATTCCCAGCCACCTCATGGTGGCTAGCAACCATTTATAATGAGATTTTGTGCCCTCTTCTGGTATGCAAGCATACAAGGAGGCAGAACACTATATGAATAATAAATAAATAAATATTTAAAAGTATATAGAAAGCACAAAAGTCATTGTTACTATGAATAAAAAAGAATAAGCATGGAACCATAACTTCCAATGTACACTGCTTAACCATAAATGAAAAATAGCAGAGAAAGAGGATCAAAGGACATGGTAAGCATCTGGAAAATGTTCTAAAGTTACAAAAACAAGAATTTATCTGTCAAACAATATCTTTGAATGAAAATGTAATATTAAGATCTTTCATTTAAAGATTTATAAAGACAACACAGATATAAGCTGAAATGATACGCTACCTACAAGAGTTCACTTTACTTAGAAAAACACATGAAGATACAAGGGTGACACATGTGCCATAGAATGGGAATTCAAAGTCCGCATGAGTGTTTGCGTATGTGTCACGTAAAGCCTCCAGGAGCTGTGGCATTCTTTCCCCTGGAAGCAGACTATAGGTTTAGCACAGGAAGACTGCACAACAAACACGGAAATAACTAATGCCAGGGCTTTCAGGGAATCATGGAGTTGGTCACATCTAGCTGCCTTGAGAGGCATGCCCTAAGACTTTCCATGACTTCTGGGGTAGTGTGCCTTTCTATTCCTTAGAAATCAAGGCAGTACCTCAGGCACTGAAGCATTCGGGCCACCTTGTGATTTTCTGTGTTCCCTAGAAGCCAGAGACGCACATGGAAGTTTGGCAGGATAATTGGTCTCAGACATTAATCTTGTGTAGCCTGTATAGTTTGAAAATATCATTGTGTTCTGGCAACTACTATTGTGTTGATCCTGGCCACCACTATAATATTCTGTTTCTGATAAGGCTATAAAAAGTCTGAGTGCTTACAATAACCTTGTTTCACCCTCAGTCTTGCCGAGAGTCCTGGATCATGCCTGGGTAAGATTCATTTCTCCTTGGCAGTATCAGGTAACCATGGCCTGGTAAGTAACCACTGGTACTTAAAACCGCTCATCAAAACCCCATAAAATTGCAGGGCAGTGGTGGCTCACACCTTTATAACCAGCACTCAGGAAGGAGGCAGAGTGAGTCAGAAACAACAGAGAGCTCCAGGACACTTAGGGCTGTTTCTCTCTCTCTCCTCTCTCTCTCTCTCTCTCTCTCTCTCTCACACACACACACACACACACACACACACAAGAAAAAAAGTCTCAATAAATAAATAAATAAACAAATAAAAATTTAAAAATCCCATAAAGGAATTTTTATAATCCCTTAAAGGGATTACAAATACCTAGTACAAGCACAATTTCCACAAATGTTTATACACATTTAAGTCATACACTCAGAAATCCCTCAGTTTCGAAGACCTTCACTCATGATGAAGCCAATATACAAATATACATTAAATAAAATACAAAAATATCCAGTTTTCAAGTTCACATGAAAATATCGACATTTTATGTATCATTGCCAAAGAGAACCGATACAAAATTAAAATAATGCTAACGTTATAATTCTTCAAAAGTTTTTCTTAAAATGTCAAAATATATCTTCAAGAATGTCTTACTCAAGTAATTTGATTAGTCACTACCATCAGTAAACACAAAGGAAGAACTTAATATACACATGTTCTATAATTTATAGAAATCATTCTATCCCTGTCATACTAAAAGAAAACACTTGACAAACCTCATATGTCGTTGGGCCAGGAAAGCAGTCTTTGGAAAAATGTCTAAAACGCTTTGATCCTTTAACAAATGAGATTATGGCACAGGACTTCATTAAAATCGGATTGTATGTTGCAGGTCCTAAGAGAAAAGGACATAAATTTAAAGTGGGTTTATGCTGGCTTTAGTCAACTAGGTATTACTCTTAGGTTTGTATCCATAATGTACAAAATAAGAAATCAATGATCTTATACAGTTCCTCTAAATAGATAGGGACTTTGAACCATGATAAGTATAAAATGATTATGTCTATTTTCTCAGTTGTTCAATGTAGTATGAAAACAATTTCCAAAAAGAAGACAAAACTGTAACTCCTCAAGGGACACATCATAAAAAATATACTTAATTCGTTTATTTCATTCACATTCAGTGAGGGAGTAGTAGTATCTGCATTAGAAAAATGAAGACTTGAAAAGGCAGTCAGATGATTTAGTAGCATTCCAGGCAAACATTATATATATATATATATATATACATATATATATATATATGTATATATATATATATATATGTGTGTGTGTGTGTGTGTGTGTGTGTGTGTGTGTGTGTACGTGTGTGTACATACACACACACACATCACAGCTCAAAGATAGAGTTTAAATGAAGCAATGTATTACAGATTATGAGTGGAAATCACATGATTCTAAATAAATAGTATTGTACATATGTTAGTGTCCCAACATGTATGATATAATACCCCTAAGTTATAAGAAAGTGACCAGAAGCTATTTTACATATAAAGCTGAGTATAAGCAATTGAGTACTACAGTTAAATAGATGCAGACTCTATCCTTTACTTGTTTGGATTCATGTAAGCTTTACCCACAGCCTTTTGTTTAAATAAATATGTAACCTACTTAATAGGTAGTAAATAGTTCTTCAAGTTTTATATATGGGCCAGTGAGAAGGCTAAGTAGATAAAGGAACTTGCCAATAAGCTTGATGGCTTGAGTTGGATCCTTGAAACCCATATGGTAGAAGGAGAGAGCCAACTGCCAACTCCCACAAATTATCCTCTGAGCTCCAGTGACCTGCACATTTATGCACATGAGTACACACACACACACACACACACACACACACACACACACACACACACACAAACTTTCTAAAAATTCATTTTGAAATTGTTAGAACAAAGGAGACTCAAGAGAAAGATGTAATTTAAGAAGTAAAGTCTGGGGCCGGACATTGGTGGTTCACGCCTTTAATCCCAGCACTTGGGAGGCAGAGGCAGGCAGATCTCTGTGAGTTCAAGCCAAACCTGGTCTTCAGAGGTAGTTCCAGGACAGGTTCCAATACAGAGAAACACCATTATAAGAAGAGATAATTTGAAGATGGCCCATTTCAGGAACACCAATAAGGCACTTATGAACATATGTAAGGTGTGAAAGAAAAATTCAGTATATTCTAAAAGATACGAAGAACATTAAGTATGGAGAGTAACTACAAAAAGACAATAATCTATAGTAATACAGCTGGGGGAAAGTGGCCCTAGGTGGCTGGGTTGGAGCAATGTCTCTAGATGGCTGGGCTACAGAAATGGCTCTAGGTAGCTGGGCTATAGAGATGGCTCTAGGTGACTGGGCTGGAGAGATAATCCTATAGGTGGCTGGCGGGGCTGGAAAGACAGCTAAATGTAGTGGAGCTGAATAGATGGTTCAAGATGGTTGGGTTGGAAAAGGCTTGGTAATTAACAGCACTTTTAGTGCTCACAGAAAATGAAGGTTTGGTGCCCAGAATCCAGGTAAGGTAGCTCACATCTGCCTTTAACTTGAGCTCCAGGGAATCTAAAGCTCTCTTTTGGCCTCTACAAGCACCCTCACACATTTATACACACGCAAACATAAATAAATCAAATCTTTCTAATGAAGAAAATAAAGTGTCTTTTAAAATAGTAATCTTACGACCAAAACCATGGAAGCATGGCAAGAAGACAATTGAGAGGGGCATTGTGGGTTTGCAAAGAATGAGTTAATCTGCAGTAGTTGAAAGGGTGTCCAAGTAACAATATCCAAAGGGAAACAGCAGCTTCAGAAGCTCAGCAGAAAGCTGATCGGAGACAATCAGTTAATCACATGGGAGTAATTGGTGAAGTTGTTCCCAGTGCTGGTGTATGGAAATAGAAGGCTACACAAGAGACTCAGTGTTAAAAAGCAATAAAGTGGAGTGCAGAAAAAGGGGAAGAGAATCTAGTGAGCAGATGAACAGAAGTGACTAGATTATACAACTTGAGAGTGTAAATACAGACAGGTTAATTAGTTCCACTCCTAGTCAAAGCAATGTTCACCAGGTCTGCCCCATGCCAAATAAATCCTGGGTTTCAAGAAAGAGCTCTATGAAATCAAACACTTCAAAAAGACAGACTTTATGAAGACTTCCTTACCATGTATGTAAGTCACAATGAGTGAAATTACAACAGGAGAATTCAAGAGACACTCTAGGAACATAAAAGTAATTTTGGACATAGCATATCATCAAACATAAAAGGTCTGATGTAGTGAAGTAAATACAAAGATATTATTGGAATATAAATGTAATGCTTCTGTATTTCTCTAGCCAACATTTATTCGAAGCTATATACTTATGAGCATGTGTTCCTTATGCTGTTAAGCCCAATAGCATTTTAGAACTAATATGTTCATATGGATCATTTTAATCATTTGTTTCATTGTGGAGAGCATTTCCAAATTTGGAGAAGATGACATCCAGGCTCTAGTTCAAACAACCCATATCAACTTAACAGCTATTCAAAGTTAAAACATCATTGTAGGAAGCTAAAGGATAATGATCTAACAAGTCACGTATTTTTTTTCATGTATCTTTTTACTGGAAAGTAACAGTAAAGGTGACAGTAGGATAATATAATTTGTATGTATTTAGAATGTTGTAGAACAACACACAAATATTTTAACAAAATTTTCTAAGGACAGACGTTTTATATACAAACTAAATAAACTGTGCAAAGGAAAAATTGCATGTATTGTTGTAGTGACCAGAAAAAAACCTGCCATTGTGAATTGTCTGCATAATTCCAGTTAGTTATTGACAACTGAAACTTTCCTGACCCAGATATATGCAGGTTAATGTAACAGATAAGGCTATTACCCAAACACTATTGTATGGGGACATTTTACTTTCAATTATGAAGAAGCATAGTCTATCCTCTGCACTTAGTACCATACTACAGCAACTGAAAAGCATGTTCACACATTGTTAAACAGATTCTTTATATATTTGCATCTATATGTATACATATAGATCATATACACAGACTAAATTCTTAAAGAGTAATTTAGTAGACTTATTTCTTTATGCTGAAATATCTCTGAGGAACATTAAGGAAAGAAAAATACCTCACCATTCATCTTCCTGCATTTTAGCACTCAGTCTGTTTTAAGCTACAGAATATTAAAAAGATTTATTGCACTTAATCTTAAAATGTATTTCCAATTATGAATGCTGCTGCTTCTGTGATACAGGGCAAAGACTTACATCATTACACCACCTCTGATTCAAAGCTGAATTGTACAGAATCCATCTCCTATTTATATACAAAATGCCATGCTTTAATCACAGGTTTTCAAAGAAGAAATCTTCTCATCCAACATCTATAAAAAGTCTGCCAAAATCATGAGTAGTATATAATAGGAAATTCCATAGCAGGTGATTCTTATAATTACATATTTTCCAGACCTCTGCCAATTCAGTCTCTATGAAATGTCACCCAATGCCACAGGGCAAAAACAGAAGGGAACAGAAACACTGAGTAATCCAAAATAAAATCTGTGCTCAAAGCCCTTCAGTGTGACCACTTTAGTATATAAGAGTAGACTCTAAAATAACCAATTCTATAAATAAATCTGGAAGTCTTTGATTTTAAAATGTCTCCATGCTTAGTCAATAATTAGAAATCATGAAATCATTCTTATTCATGAGTAATGAACTCTATATCATGTAACGATGATAAACCCATTTAAAAGTAAATATCCCATATGTAGGCACAGTTTTGGGGATTTAAAAAAACGAGGAAACAGCTCATTTAAATAGCATGGTTTTAAAATATCAAGTATTGAGTTCATATTTTATTCAACTTATTTTCTCACTGTTAGTTTATTGTTTGATTTTGCAAATGATTCAATATCAACAAAGAGTTCTCAAAGTGTGCCATTGTATTAGAGATATGGATATGTCAAGATTTACAGTTTTCTGCTGTATCTAAGATTCAATTTGATTCAATGACACTTCAGACTATAACCACAGTGTTTCAGTCTATGAAACTGAGCTTACAGGAAGGAAATATGCAGTCCAAAACTACATACATGTCAAGAAAAATCCTCATGTCTGTGTTTACTATCTCATTAACTTTGCTGTTCAAAATCAAAATACTCTTTGTTCCACGCTTGTTCAACAGATGAACCATTGCTCTTGCCCAGCACTGTTACATATTCAAAGACAGAAGGCACAAGTGTAATGATTCTTTAAATACTGCTCCATGTGTGGAATATTTTAGGACGATATCTTAAAGTACTGCATAATATCAGCAATTCCTGTCAAGGGGGCCTTAAGAATGGAATATAATACTATACTCCAACCCAAGGAGATTAGGGGATTAGTCCCATAAACCATGTTCCTGTTAAAATACTTGCTCTTCACATTGATCAGGCAAAGAGGCTGTCGCTGATAGAACATATACATACACACTCATATGGATTTATCTTGACTGACACAAAGCTTCAGTAAGCAACAGCCATTTATATGTGTCTACACTACATATTTATCAAAATGTGCACGCATTAGCCCTGTCAAATGAATTGCTGAACTGCTTCTGAAACAGATAGTTTTAATCTCTGATAATATAAGTACTTTGTAAGCAAATTTCACTAAAATTTAAGATGTATGCATCACAACACAGCATTCTAGTATGAATTATAGGAACCGAGTAATAGAGAAGTCACATTTGTTTTAAAACTACATGTCAGTTTACCACTATGCAACTCATGAATGGTTTTCATTAGTAACAAAAATGACAGAATAGCTTTTGTGCTGTGTCTTCTATTTTTTTTTCCATAAATTGAGAT